AAGTGTAGAATGGCTAGGGTGTGATGGACCATACATGGTAAGTAAACTGCTTTAAAATTCGACCACCAGGAACCAATATCCATGGAGTAGGATGAGGATCACAACTGGGCAAGTTAACTATAATCCAAACTCAACCACTGGGAACTGGCATCCATGTGGGGGTAGGATTAGACCATCTTCATCTCAAGTTCTGCTGACCAGAGGGAGAAATTCCACCACGGATCTGTGAACAGGGCACATGTGAGCAGATTGAAATAACATACATATATATATCCAACTCCAATCAAACAGACCGGAATCACCTCAAATGCAGTAACATCCTCGGCATAAAGACATTGAGGGGTAGCACAAGAGGAAAAAGCAGAGCAACTAACAAGTGCACCAACTGTGACCCACTACACTAGGGTAGTGCACTCGAGGCAAATAGAGTGAGGGACCAGGGACACCCTGAACTCATTAGGGAACCAACATCCAGGTGGAAGTAGGATGAGGGATCCCAATCAAAGGGGTGAACTACATATATGCTAGTGTGCTACATGTGCAAGTACATCATATTGATTGGTTCAGCTCTAAATCCAAAACTCAACTGCCGGGAACTAACATCCATGAGAGGGTAGAATGAGGGATCTCAATTGCACTACATGTGTGAGGACATGTCGATTGGTTCAGATCTAAATCCAAAACACAAGTGCCTGGAACAGACTTTCATACAAAAGTAGAATGAGGGATCTCTATCATTATGACGGCAAACTCCGAAACTATAACATCACCTCGGACAAACCTGTGTAGAGATGGAGTGTCCATTTGGAGGACCTATCATCTACGCCAGCAGAAAACTACCTCCCTACTCTTAACTAATTTGAGTTTTTGTTTATCTTGTATATCTCTCGTTCAGGAGGATAACTCCATGGTTCACCACCCCAGTGGCTTGGTAAGGACTATCTTACTCCACTGGAGAAAATGGGGTGGGGGAGTGCAAAGGAACATTCACACCAAAGATAGTGCAATGGATGACAACAAAACCCTATTTTGAAAAGCAGACCAAACCAAATTTATTCAATCTAAAGAATAGCAGAGATGGGCATCAATCCCCTACTGCTTTACCCATGAAGTCCACAAGTTAGAATGATGCAAAACAGGCATGTTTATGAAGCAAAGATATCACAAAAAATAACATATGAGCGATCGTGTGGAACTAGCTTTCAAGCTGCTATAAGACCTGTTGTTCATGGACTTGATGTAACAGTGCCTACTTCACCAGAGGCACTTAACATAGTTTCATCTGATTTTGAATCAGATGAAAATAGAAATGATAGGGATTGCTTTCAACCTACAACATCTGTTGAACCTGAACTTTTCACACAAGGTAAACTTGATGATTTGGTAAGAGATTTGGGCCTTTCAAATGATTATTCACAGATTTTGGGGTCAAGATTTCAGGGTAAGGACTTACTTTCCCCAGGGACATCATTTTACTGATACAGAAATTGTGAGAAAGTGTTTATACCATACTTTTTGCAAGAAGGTTCACTGGTTTATTGCAACAATATTGCTGAATTAATACCAATGCTATGAATAAAGTGATTGGCAATTGTTCATCAATTCCTCCAAAGAAGTCTAAAAGGTGTTCTCCTTCACAATGGTAACATATATGCATCTGTTCCTATTGCTCATTCAGTTCACTTGAAGGAAACTTTCAAAAATCTCCAAATCCTTCTTAGTAAGGTCAGATACAAAGAACATGGTTGGCTACTTTGTGGAGACTTGTGTATGTTGTTGGGTCAACAATCTAATTATACAAAGTTTCCATGTTTTATGTGTGAATGGGACAGTAGAGCATAAAATCAGCATTAGATAAAAAAGCAATGGCCATGCAGAGTCAGCCTGATACCAGGATTGAAAAACATTGAATGAGAAAGTTTGGTTGACACAAAGAAAGTCCTATTACCTCCACTTCATGTAAAACTGGGCTTGATGAAGCAGTTTGTAGAGGCCTTAGACAAAGATGGCGACTGTTTCAAGTATCTATGTGATCAATTCCCAGCTCTTTCAGAAGCAAAACTTAAAGAAGGGATTTTTGTTGTGCTCTGATTAGGAAATTGACTTCAGATGAACAGTTAAAAAGAAGAATGAGGAAAGTTGAAAAGGAAGTGTAGACTGACTTTAAAGATGTTATTGACAAGTTTTTAGGAAACAACAAGGACCCAAATTACGAAAATATTGTTATTAACATGCTCAATAAATTGAGGGAGTTGGGTTGTAATACGAGCTTAAAAGTTTAATTCTTTCACTTTCATATTGACTCTTTCACTTTCATATTGATCCCATCAGTGAAGAACAAGGGAAAGTTTCATAAAGACATCAGGGAAATGGAGAAGAGGTATCAGGGAAGGTGGAACATCGGCACAACGGCTGATTTCTGCTGGTCATTGAAACAAAATGCTCCAGATGCAATACATAAAAGAAAGTCCACAACATGTAGTTTGAGACTAAAAGATGTAGATTTCACACAAAAAAAAACAGGATGAATGATGTCAAATGAGTATGCATCCTCAATATTCTTCCCCTTTCTTCAGGTTGTTTGTATTTTTGTTAACAAACAATAATAAAAAAAATTTTCATTGTGGTAAAGAAATAATTCGATCCAAATAAGAATTTTCTTCTTCCTGATTTGTAAAAAATCCTTATGTGATAGAAAAACATGAATATTATTTTCAAAATCTGTGTAGCTGAATTATGGAAATTCCGTTATTAAAACCAAAACAACTTTTATGAAGTTCAAATACGCAGGCCTGTGTAGTATATAACAAAAGAAAAAAACTTATACAGTTACAGTCTCACAAAAGAGTGAAGGATGGCAACAGGTAGAAGACTGTACCCTGAAGAGGAAGAAACAGCTATCCAAAGCAGATAATGGGAAAAGAACGTACGAGGTGTAGTCCCAGTGCGACAGATGAAGTACATACGACAGATGACTTGGTTGAGATGCAAGTAAAAGGTAAAGTGCCTAAATGGAGTGAAGATATCAGGAATGGATTATGGGAAAAAGGAGATAAGGAATAAAAGGCCAACTGAATCACAAGCCAAACCTAATGGGTAAGCAAGGAAGTGTAAAAATAAATGAATAAATAAATAAAGGTGGAAGATGGCAAGAAATGAAAATGACAAAAAGAATATTCCACATGAGCCCCCAAAGTGTAGGTTAGTAAAAATCGATCTAGAACAAAAAGAACATATCAAGCTGAAACAGCTGAGAAAATCAGAAAACCTGCACTCACCAAGAACATATCGAAAACCAGGGCAAGTGCTTGATGAACTGGAAACCAACAACAAAAGAGGTAACTTGGAATTGAGAAAGGATTCAAATACTTCCTATGGAGAAGTATCCAAAGGAGACAGAGCCAACAAAAATTGAAAAGACACTCCTTGGGAGAAAGTGTGTTGGGACTGGAAAGGCTATCTGCAATGATGACGAAAGTACCTGGAATACAACATGCCAGGAGACGTGTGTTAAGTGTGTGGGTTTACAAAGAGAGATATCCACTGTCTACCACATAGTGAACAAGAACAAGTGCCCTATTGATGAGTATAAGCTATCATCATGGAACAGTCAGAATGAAACATGATTAGTCAAATCGAGAAAAGAGGAAAAAAAGTTGGACAGTCAGAAGTGCCAAGGTGTTAACATGGGAAAACCTTTCGTTCATAGATTATTGTCCTGAAGCCTCCTGCTGATTGATTCATATGAGCAGCAGGGAAAAGAAACAACTCCGGATAAGGGGGGAGGAATTGGTAAACCTGACAACGTGGGGAGGTGAAATATGTTCAACCACCAACCCATATAATCAAAGAGGGAATGAGGGAAGTTAAGAGGAGAATGCAAAGAAACCCTAGCAAGAGAGTACTTGTTGTACAGAATCTCCAGAAAAGATTGCAAATGTGCCAGATCCAAAGGGAGAAGTGCTACCATAGAAGCCACATACACCCCAATGTATTAGAACCTTGCTAGCTATAAGACAGTGAACCGTAATGGCATGGATAGCAGAAAGCTACATCAAATGCATTTGGTCCCAACAGAGGTGGGTGTTTAAATCTTTTAGCATGGATATGGTCCCTAGGACTGACCTCTACCATTTTGTGCTTGTTATAGTTTTAATACTAAAACTTTTAAATTAGAAAGCATATGTTCACAAAATTTGACAGCTTATCAGTAAACATTACAATGCTCTCATAAGCAAAATATGAAATTTTTCTTATTAAGTCTTAAGGTTTGAAAAGCAATGTTTTTCTTCTGCCTATTCTATTTTTGCATTTTGCCTATCCAATGTGCAAAGTAAATTTCATTTTAAGATTATAAATACTTTTCTGCGTCAGAAAATTTTCAAATGTTAGTTAAAATCTTTATAACGTTCAGATACTGAATATTTCTTAAATATTTCTTAAGGAAAAACTTTATACTTTATCTGTTATTTTTATTAATGAATCTTTAAGGGTTTGGTCGATTTGACTGATCTTGTAACCACCATAAAATTTAGAAATAAATATAAATTATGCCTTTTTCATTCTAGAATGAACACAAATAATAACCCAAAAACAAATTTTTGGACTGAATAGCTTAAATCTCATTGACTTTCAGCTGTGCCTGGCTAATAATACAGAAGTTACAATGATACAGCACACATGCACTCATGTTAATGTATCCAATAGTATAAAATTGACCTTTAGTCTTCACAAAGCGACCGGTCTTGGCTGTGTTTTAGTGGACTAGTATTTTGTAATATAGTCACATTTCAATTATTATACATAATATCTGTATATATATTATTACTATTTACAAATAACTTCTTAAACATAGAGCAGTAAATAAAGAAGTTATGACCTTTGTACATATTTGCTGCTTGTCATAGGTTGGTAAGCTTATAGAATTTATCAACCTTACTAATTAAGCTGTTTTTCGACCTAAAAAAAAAAAAGTAATTTCGAGCAGACTAAAGACTCACCTTACCAGCATGAAGATTTGTATCGAAAGAACGAGATGATGTCATAATGCTGGAAAATGGCTGAGAAAGCCACTAGGGAGACATTCTAAGTTTCAATTAGTTATTCACATATCATAGACAATTATAAATGTATATAAGGGAGCATTTCCAAAAATTGAAAACAGGGAGTGGGGCCACTGTGTTTGACGCAGTACATGAGTGATATCTCAGCAAATAGAAAAGATAGGAGGTACTTATTTTAATTCTAGCTTATTAATATCAGTAATTTGAGTTCCTAATTCGTACAAAACTATATACTTTGTATTTTGATATCACAAACATCTATTTTGAATCAGTGCTGCATTCAACACATCACGTGACACACACAAAAAATCAATGTTTAGGTATTTTTTTTATATTTACTTTTAAATTAAGAGAACAAATAATGTATAATACTAAAATTTGAAGTATAATATACAGTTTGATACCAAACATAGTAGTTCAGTAAAATTGTGAATGCGAGTCAACAAACACGATGACATGGTCTTTGACCAGTGTAAAAATGGTTAAAAGCTGTTAGGTAGGTAAAGGAAAAACTTATCCAACTGAAAAATTCAACCACTCAAGCTGCTTGTGTAAGAAGCAGATGAGTATGTTATGAGCACCTCCACTTGGAAGGAGCTAACCAAAGCCAGACATCCAAGTAGTGATAGTAGTAAATTCCCCCAAATTGCAGAAGTTCGGTAAAACACAGACCATCTGACAAAGACACACACAATTAAAACAAGTTGAAACAAATGAAACAAAGGGCAAGGCTCGAAACTGGTACTGAATTACATGGTGAAAAAACCTAAGATAGTGTCCTGAGAAATGAAAAATAAGAATGTGTACTGTGGGCATTCTCAGTCCTGTAGAAATTGCCCACCCAATTGTGATCAGAGACTACATACTAAAGTGGGGAAGAAACAAGAAGTGATTGAGTTGGGACTAATCAATTCAGAACTCCAATCAGCATTGAGCATACTTGATGAATGTAGAAACCTGTAGGTGCAATGTGTAAAGGATAAGAAGGTGCCTGACATGGCATGTAACATCAATAAATATTGCAATGACTCAGAATGCAACAAAAGAACAACAACAACAAAAAAAAAAGCATTGCAGATATTCCACGTGATGCTCAATGCACAGGAGTAGTCCCGAAACATGGACCAATAGAGAAAAAGAGCCAAACACAAGTCCCTATTATAAGTGCCTGGTAAAGAAAGTACAAAACAGTGTCCTATCCCAGAAGATCTCAAAAGCAAAGAAGCCACATGTGGAGGGAGAAAACTGAAGTGGGCAAACACCCAAATATAGAGGGAAGGAGGAAGAGGTACCCCACGAAAATCCCCTAGATATAGGTGGAATGCCTAAGAAAGGAGGTGTAATTTATTGGTAAACATTTCTGGTAGGAGAGTCGATAGGGTAAGACAAAGCTGGAAAACTAGGTGGGGATAAAACGGATTAACAGAGACTGCCACACAAATATAGTTAATAGACAAAGCAGATTCACACAAGTTCTCAAAGGATTAACACCATTTATATCTACAAGCTATAATTATCTTTTATATTGGTTTTTCTCCAAACATTGGCTTTGATACTTATCTTACCGATTCTTCCCTTAGAGCAAATTTGCACTAATCTGCACAGTAACTTTTTCACCTCATCTGTGTTTTTTTTCTCAAATATCCAGAGAAATTTGAGTTTATTTGTCAAGAGTTAGAACAAACATTTGAACAATATTTTAGCTAATTTATCACAGCAATACAACCTATAGTATGTAGTTGAAGCTATAAGTAATGCTGATACATATTAAATCCAGGGAAAGTGTTATATTCTAAATTGCAGGTGAAATTATCAAAACAAGAGACAAGGTGATCTAAAAGCCTAAAACTTCTGTTATTTTGATGCTGGTTAAATTTAATGTGGATTCCCATCAAAAATAATTCCTATTGACTTAGAATCCCCCCCCCCCCAATTGTTGATCAGAAAGTTATTTTATATACGTCATTTGTTTCAGTTTGATGAAACTTATTAACATGTAAATTTTTGAACTTTGTTTTGCCAAGTGCTGTAGTTACCACTTTCTACAAACTGAGACAGCAAAAACTGACAGATAAAGGTGACCAAGTACTTCAACCTTTCAAGATAGTGTAATGCTTATATGACAAATGTTTTTATTTTTGTACATTGATTGAATACAATAAACTTAACAATGTTCAATAAACAATGATTTGAGTCATTGGAATATTTCACCATTGCCTACCACACTTGAAAACCCAACTAGCCTTCCTGATGTCCTGTTGTAGAAAATTTCTGTAGGCTTGAAACAGATATTTAGCTCTAAAATGTTTTCAGGAATGAAAATTGATATAGAAATTGTTAAAACAAAACAACTCCGAGATATATGATGTGTTGTTACAAGTGTTCTAAACTTCCCATTAAATCTAGTTATTTTCAAAGCTGAGTTCATTCGTAATTCTTCAGACTATGTGCTGCGACATCATAAAAAAACAAAAAACAAAACTACTAACAGAATAAAACAGTCATTTTATAGGCATTTCCTGATAACTTTATAATTCATAAAAGTTGAATTATAAAACAAATTAAAAAAAAATTTAAGCGCACATTCAAAGTAGACGAAACAGTTTTAACATTGTATAATATTACCTACATTGGCTTTAAAAATTTCACAACATTAACTTCTATCTTTCCCAATTTGTCTTTCAACCAGGTAATAAGAAATCAAATGAAAGCTTTGCACAAAGAAGTCTACTAAATAGCATGAAATTATGATTAAAAAAATCTTCACCCACTTGAAATTTTCAGAGCTTATGTCATAATAATAATAATAAATGCTACAAAAGATCTCTTGTTATACACCAAGTACAATACACAATTAACTGTATTATATTGAAATAATAATACTGACAGTGCAAGAAAAACATGAAGCAATCACTTACATTTATGTCCAAAGAAAGATTCTTACATAGGACTTCAATCTCAAACTTTAGTGTCAATTTTAATTCTGGTTCTTGGTGTAACTCTGCTAAAGCACTCATGATTCCTATTGTCCATGGGTTGGGTGGCTTGAAAATCTGCAAATAGAGTATGATTAAATGGCAGCCACTTGAAAGATATTTTTGTACAACTTTTAGTATAGTTCATAACAAATATAGAGAAGAAAAAAAAATCATTATTTCACATAAGTATTAAACTTACCACTGGTGTAACTTATGAAAAATGCATGATGAGAAATATCACTAATAAACTACATCTAAGATGTAACCTAGTTTTTTTTTTGTTTTGTTTGCTGAAGCAGAAAGCTGCACAGCACAGATCGTTATGCCTACCGTGCAGGGATTGAGGCCCGAGTTTCTGCATTACTAGTCAGCCACGCTGTGATGTTTAATTAGAACTGTGTGTGTGTGTGTGTGTGTGTGTGTGTGTGTGTGTGTGTGTGTGTGTGTGTGTGTGTGTGTGTGTGTGTGTGTGTGTGTGTGTGTGTGTGTGTGTGTGTGTGTGTGTATACTCTCTCCTTCTCTCTATTATTTAGTGACTTTACATGCAATTTTCCATGTCTTAAAGTTTTAAATGTATGAAAAATTAGTGATAATTCAGAAATGAAGACTGATGAATAATAGCTTGCAACCATAAAGCATGAATCATTTGAAACTCACTGACTCACTGATGGTGATAAAGTTTTCCTTATCTTTAAAACTCTGGTATATTGCACCATGTCAGATTTACCTTTAACTGTGAACTGAGCAAATCAGAGGTCAATCTATTTTTAAAATGATATATATAAAAAACAATTTTCTGTTTGTCTGTCTAGTGAAAATTGTTGTGAAGAAATGACTAAACCAACTTTGAATGATTCCACCCGAGTTCACCTACTGAATTTTATCAAAGATAGGTTTTAAATGGATAAGAAATTCAATGAAAGATTCAAGTTGGAGTTTTACCATCTTAATTCCATGAATGAGGGTTCAACTTGGCAAAGATTTCAGTAACAAAATCAGTAGCTGATGCTAAGGAAAAGTGATGCGTGATATTTGTAGCATAGCATGGGAGAAATGGTTCACAAACTAAGGCTCAAAATAGTAGAAGAGGTGACCCACATCCCCATTTATAGCATACATTTTTTAAAGTCTGGCATTGTTAATAAACATTTTCTGCAATTACAACCTTGCTTATAAAAACTGAAAGAAATAATTTAAAGTAGTTTTATGCTTTTTCTTTAGTGTTAGAAATTCACTTCTATCTTTTTTTTTAAATCTATTTATTTTATTATTAGCCTAAATGTTAGGTCGTCAAGAAATTAATGTTGCCCCTTTTTTTTTAGAAAAAAAACCCAAACAACTTGTATATATATAAAAAACTAATTAAAGGAAAGAGTCTCCATTCTTATTGATGATGCTTTTCCACTTTACAGTCAGGTTGTTAATGACCTGATTAAAGAAATTAATTGGCTTTGAAGCAAAAAAAACATGTCGATGTTCTCTTTAACACCTTCCACACTTGCATACGTTTTCCCATTAAGATGGTAATATGATGGTGCCATATCTGGAGAATATGGTGGATGGGGAAGAACTTCCCAACTCCATAACTTTGTGTTGCATCAAACATGTCTCATGTGGTCGTGTATTGTTGTGGAGAAGAACACCTTTCCGAATGAAGAGTGAAGGCGTTTCTGATGAAGAGCTTGATTTAAATGTTCCAGTTGCTGACTATAGATCTCTGCTTTGACAGTTCACTATGGACTGAGGAGTTCAAAATCAATTACTCCTTGGATGCCCCACCAAATGCAAAACATACCTTTCTGTAGATGGAGTCCAGGTTTTGGGGTCAGAAGTGGTTTTTGTCTAGGACTGAGCCATTGTTTTTGGCATTTAATATTCACATGGAGAATCCATTTTTTCATCACCGATGACAATTCTGTCCAAAAATGGTTTACATGCATAATATTACGCACCAGAAGAGACAAAGCAACAATCACATGTTGGAAACAATGATCAGAGAGTTTGTGAGGCACCCAAACACCTTCTTTATAGAGTTTTCCCATATTCCTTAGATGTTTACGTATTGTTTTATGAGAGACATGCAATTTCAGGGCCATGTCATGAGTATGTCGCCTTGGGTTAGACTCAACACGAGTTTTCAGAGCATCAATATCAATTCCAACATGTCGGCTCCTCCCATCACAGTTTTTAAGGCTAAAGTCACCTGAACAAAATTTACTGAACTATTGTTGACTCTTATGAACATTCCAAACATTTTCACAAACTTCTTTGATATTCTTTGTGGCTACAGAGGCGTTGTTTCCCTTCTTTTATTCAAACAGCATTACATGCAGAATGTGTGTCTTGTCGTGTGCCATCCCTATAAGGGATTAGAGTATACTAAACTTCACACATTATACAGGCTACACTAACGTGACATTTAGGGGGTTCGTTTTACTATTATACGTAATGTACGTTTTTTTGGGGAGTGGTTAATGAAAGTGTTCCAAAACACAACATTAATTTCTTGACAACCTAATAGAATGAAAAGTAAATCTTAAACTTTACTGAAATAGCTTGATTCAAATGCTTTACTTTAACAGTAAGATAACATTAGTGATTTATTACACCTAGTACTTATATTTTATTGTACTCAACACACGTATAAACATTAATAAACAAAATTACAAATGAGAGTTAATTTTTTTTATTGTACATTTTTTTTTGTAAAAATATTATTATCCAAATTTTCCATACCACATGAAAGATATTTTTCTTCATAAAAATAATTGGATAATATAGTTGAACCTTCATTTCAGTGTTGGCTGACTGTATTGGTATTGTTTGGCAGCATAACATTCCTAACTAAAGTTTGCACGTTCACACTTTAATAGACATTGTCATTTCTTTTGTTCTTTACCTCAACAATATTTATGCAGAGGGGCTGTAGTATATTCACACATTTTAAAAAATATTATTTCAAAAGTTTCTACAACCTTTGACATTTTAAACTTGTCAATAAAAATTCAAATTATTAGTTTAAAAATGAAAGTGGTTTAAGCTAGTGCTACAATCTATTGATAATAAAAACATTTGCTAACGTTTTAAACACATGATTTTGCAACTAGATAACCATACTTACTCGACTTTTGGCACAGGACTCTAAAATTTTGGCAACAAAGGGAACTACATAAAGTAATTCTTTCTGTCCTTTATGGTAAGCTTCAATGAGAAGTGCTTTTATGTCTATATCCTGAAAACATGAAAAAACTATCTTTAGAGCATTTTTTTTTTTATTTGGACAATTTTATTTAATTTCAGAAATTAAACTAAAATTGAATATTTAATTTCCATGATTTTCAGAAAATAATAAAAAGCAAAAAAAAAAACTACTAGCTAAAATATTCTGAAAACACTCAGTTTTTGAATCTAGCAGTTTCAAACGTTTTCAAATTCATTCCATTCTATTACAACTTTAGTTTCTAAAGCTAAAAATTCATATACGTATCATCTTAAGGCTGGGATTATTTCTTTAATCATAATTTATTTGCAATTAAAATTATTTTCTTTATATAGACCATAAATTGCTGAATTTTAATTATAACATTAAAAGCCTTCCTCGACTACATGTTCTCAAATGATCTAACTATATTACACTGTTTCAGTGGAACTTTAGGCAGAACAGCCATACCAGGTTTGACAACTTTAATAGACTGTAACTCCCCATTTAAAGAATTGACATTTAAGATTTTATACTGAGGTCTTCTTTTTGTACAAAATGTATTTCAACAAAGTGAGCTATCACCCTACATTAATAGGCCTGTGACAATATTATTGTATAGATGTGTCAGAAACTTAGTTTTGGGATCAGTAGTTACAGGAATGTTGTATAGAAGCATACTAAAACAGCTACATCATACAGTGGTTATTTCATTATAAAATGTAATATGTAATTTACGTTAAAGTTCAGTAGTCATCATGAGTTATGTTTTAAGTACCTGTAATTCAGATAAAGAAAAAAAACAAAAACTAATTGTTAATTTTTATGAAAGTAAACACAGATTTGCTGCATATAATGCCAATGGGATGGAAAGAGTTAATAGAATTGATTAAAGTTTATTTTTTTGAGAAGCAGCATTTACAATGATGTGATGCCAAAGGTAAATATTATGCAATATAAGTAAACCTATTTTATCACCTGAAACAAAACAATTTAACTTACTATTTGCAAAATTGGTTTATTTTTTGCCAAAGTCAACATTCCTAACCAATGGCCCAAGTTCTTCAACAAAGAGCGATCTGAAAAGTTTTCAATTCCCTTGTCACTTCGTAGAAGAACCTGAAGGTAAATAATATCCAAGAACATGTAATAGTTTCTTTAAACTTTCTGAAATAGCATTACTTTAATAACCTAATTTCTGAACGTAAAACTTACAAGAGAAACAGTATAATGTATAAAAATATTCCTTTAGTACATTTACTATGTAGTTTATTTCACTTTTCATTAAAGAAGAATAAAAAACAAATTTAATGGTACAATATTTAAGTATGTTGAATAATAATAATAATAATAAAGTATATCAATATCATATACAACACCTCTTTAAAATCTGACTGAATAATATTTCCTAATCTCACAGATATTGAGTTAAATAAAATGCTATAAATTGTGTAAATCTCACACGTAAACAGGATTTTAAATGTTTATTTACAATAAATATCTTACCTTGATGTTGCGTAAGGTTTCATGCACTATCAGTTTTCTAAGATCTGGTAGACGTACTTTATCTAGAAAGTTGGAGTACAATGTGTGGAAATTGTGCTCAATGGATACTCTCTTCATCACCATGTACTGGGCAGCCCATGGCCTGTATTCTTCCTTCACCAATTTTTTATACTCTTCTGTCTGAAATGGTCAAGCACTTACATCCAGCATCTTCACAGGAGCTTATAATAATTTCCACACACTTCAATTCTTTTTTGGAAATTTAAAGCCTAATTAATATTTTTAAAATCACATTTACTGAAATTACTAGCCAAAATAGCAATTTGTGACTTTGTGATAAAGAATATAAAGCTTTAATTACAACACAATTACTGTTCAGTTATTATAATCCTTTTGTTTTACAGCTCCAATATCTTCATATGTACACATACAACTGGTTAGCTTTTATTCTGCAAAACTTTGAGACATATGTCCACTTCAGTATTTTAAACTGTCAAAATACACAAAATTAAAAACTTCATAAGAATGATATTAGAACTTAAATTCGTTCCTTTCTTGTTTAAGAAAATAATTTTCAGAGGATCTCTATCAATCACAAAGAAAACCAAACTAAATTTAAATTCTCACCTTTTGTACCAGGTTTATTTGTGAAAGGTTGTTAATGATAAATTCCACTTTATCTTGAACCGATTCAGGAGGAAACATCATCTTCTCTCCTTTCTCAGTTGCTACCAGTAATGTGTCAATGTTAGTGGTATTGGCAATTGATGGCTAAAGTAATTTAAACAAAAAGTCAAGTAAAAAAAAATTCCCCATTCATCGTGATAAATAAATTATGCACAAACTGTTTGACCAATTTGTCTTTACCATTCAGTGCAGTGCCTTGTTTTACTATTACAGTACTGTGATGGTTCCTTGTTGGCTGATTCAGGATGAAATACTATCTTAGTCTTATTTGCTTCCAGTAATGGCTGGCAGTTAATTTCAGTGCTTAATTTTATTATTACTACACCTAATAATTTTACATTGTTTTCTTCAATTAGAAAAGTGGACTCAATGTTAGGTAGCTGTGAAGGCTAACAGACAGAAAATATAAACTGAGACAAAGACATACTTATTTCTAGATTATAGCATTCTTCTGGAGAAGGTATTATTTCAATATTTTCAGTCAAGAATTATTTTGGTATAGTTTTGTTGGGATTGAACATGCAAGTTTTTATATACAGGTACAGATAAGCATAAAGCTACAACATTATGCTTAATATTAGATTGTTATTATTATTTTTAATGCAAGTACTACTACTAGATAATAGGATAATAAAACTTAAATATTTGAAAGTTCTTACTAGTTTTAGCTATATTAGATGAAGAATTTACTCTGAAAGTTTAAATAACTGTTTTTATTATTTGATAGCTGCCAAGAATTTAATACATTAATAAATTGTTTAAGTTAGCATTTAGTTGCATGTAACTAGAAATGTAGAGTACATCATAGCAGTGGTACTGACATTGGTAATTAAAGGTATTAATTAATGGAAGATTTGGTGTTACATTTATCTACAGTTGGACTCAGTGAACATAACCCAACTTTTGGTACAATTTATAATTAAGTTGTAAAACAAATCAATATATTCTGATATTACATAAATAACCAGTCTTTAGATTATACTTAACACTTATTATGAATCACAATAGTTGTTCATAATAGGAATCATCCATTTGTTCTTTATTATTTAATGTTGTTCTGCCAGCCTACACTAAAAATAGCCAAGTATCGTAATAAAACCAGGGTAATATTACTAAACACATCATTGCCCATTGTGTAGCATAATAAAAGTTTATTTGACTACCTAGCAAATAACAGTGGCTGTAAAACTATTGACATACAATTGTATTAATGTAGTCTGTGGTTTATATGGAGTCTTATAATTACTACATGCCTATGTATATAGCTGTGGATGTAATTTAATGTTTATATGGCAAGCATGAAACATGTACTATAGGAATTATTAACTTATTATTGAAACTGTATTGATGCCATGTATCATATGTTTATGTATAGGGTTTCTGCCCTTTTTGGACACAATGCTGCTGACAGGATCAAGTTTTTTTTTTCTTGTTAAACCACTGCATGATCAATTTTGGCCATGTTACACAAATGTCTAATATGTTATACAAACGTTTAGGCTGTATCCCACAACAAAAATCTTTATGCCATAGTTTTTTTTAAAAAAAAAGCACCAGCTTAGTTTTAAGCATTGGATTGGCAATCATGGTGATGACAAGTGTTGAATTATAACCAACACTGTGCTGTTGCAAATTTGATAGATATTGCAGATAGAGTACCCATCCTTAAAGTTGACTATAAGGAATGGCAAGAATCATGCAAGCAGGAGATAGCAAAAATATTGGAGTTTTTGGGCAAAAGGTACACATTTTATTTTTAAAAAATATTCACTTTTAAATAAAGTATGCAACAGCAATGGCCCACAATGGAATAGGGTTGTAGAAGTGTCGAGAACAAAACTCCATAATAAATTGATGGGGAAATATATTATATAATCAATTCATAATTGTTAATTAACACATCTGACCTAGTAAAGTATGCAGAATATCACTCTAAGAGGAACTCCAGCCAGCTGCAGCAAATCTGTGACCAGCCTTACAATGGCCAGCAGAAAGGAGAAAGAGGAAATATAACAAATAAGAAATATTAGTTATTTGTATACACATACATACACGCACTAGATAGAGAGACAGAAATACTAGTCAACATGCACTGAATGCATGTATAAAACTTGTGCGGTTGCAAAATCCATTCCATGCACCATTCTAGTACAGTTCAGTAGTCTTTCCAATACAGTGTTCACAAACTTCTCGCATAGCTACAGATCCAAAATAAGGATTTGTAGCTTGAGGGAATAATGTCAACACCATGTCTCAAATCTGAAGCTTGTTTATTGTAGTTGAATTTTCACTTTGAGCTAACCATCTTGTTTGTATTTTTTGATGATCCCTATTCCTCCCTTTTTAAATTAACAATTTTTAATAATCTTGTTTTAAATACAAACTTAATTACTTTTGTGAGGAGATAAGGTAGTGATAATATAGTGTTGTCAATATGCTACCACATGTACTTGTATTTAATGCTGATTACTTATTTCCAAGGCTACTATGGTAAAGTAGTGTAAATGCAGCGCTAATAGTTTGTAGGGTGTGACTAGTGCAAGTAGTGGGTTTTATTTGAGAACTTGTGACTGATACATGCATATAATGAAGCTACAAGTAAAGATATACAATTTGTATGTAAAGTTTGTAGGTTGAAAGAGAAATTACAGGCTATCTTAAATAGGGTAGAGGCAAAGGATAGACAGAAGGGTAAACTGTAGGAAATGGCAGCAGTATCTAAACAGGAGCTTAAATTTTTGCATGTGAAAAATAGTTGCTAATCCTTTGAGAAGTCAGAAATAGTATGCAAGTATCAGTAGTAGACTCAATTATGATGAGCAGGTATATTAAGTAACACATTTTAGCCTTTAGACGGAGGACAAGAGGGAAGGATGGATAAAAGTAACAGGTAGAGATAAGAATGAAAAACTTGGTTATTGTTATGGAGAATTCTTTAGTGCAGCACATGGATAGGATAATTATTGTGTAACTAGTGGAGAAAGGAATTATATTATATAATCCAGGAGAAGAGGTGAAGGCTATAATTAACAAAAAGTGATATAGATCTAACAGTGATAGAGTTTTTGTAGTGAACATAGGGGGCTAATGATGCAGGGAGGGGTAGGGCAGAGGAGCTAATTGTTAAGTACAAGGTACCAATAAAGTTATTCAAAGAAAACATCTGTAACAATTCTGCCAGAATACTAATAACATTTATTTGTGGAGATAAAATTAAGTAGTTCACAAGGGCTGAATACTAGGATTAAGTTAATACATAAGAATGAGCATGTTGGCTGATTGGATTTGTGAGATCAGTTTAATGAGAAAAGGGGGCTCTTTAGAATGGATTGTTTACATTTAAATAGAGTAGGGCTGACTTGTTTGCAAGGGCTATTAACACAACTGTGAGAGCAGCTTTAAACTAGGGCTAGATAGTGATGAGGACCAGAAAAATAATATAAGATAGAGAGAAAAAGTAGTGTAGGAATGAAGTACAAAAGTAGTTATAATGGTAGGCTAAGCCATTATTATTGTAATGCTAAGAATATAAGAAATAAAGTGGATGATTTTCGAAAACTGGTTGTAGTAGAAGACTTTGATGTAATTGAAATAACTGCATTAATGACAGAAATTTCCTTGAAATATAGAGTTATAGGTTTTTGTTTTTTCTATATGGATAGAGTACTAAGAAAGGAGTGGTTTTATATGTAAAATGCAAGTCACATTCTGCTCAACTTCTATATTTAATAGATGAAAAGTTATGATACTTCATTGAAGTGTATATTGTTTGTGAAATTTCTAATTCTAAATATCAGTCAAGATCTGTCCCAGGATCTGTACATACAATCAGTTAATGATATATTCTGTTATTTCTACAATAATTCAGTTTTTAGGTCTTTCATTTCATTTTGAATAATTGTCATGTGGAATGAAAAACGAAAAATGTACTGTTTGACAAGCAAAGACATTGCTCAATGAACGACCATGCTTACAGTCAGTATTTAGTAAACTACATTTAATAATAAGCATAGGTGATATTAAAAACCATTTGACTTCAACCTGAATAAAGTTTAATTTTTTTATTTATACTTTATTTACTTGTGGTATTTCACAGTTTAGTTATTGATTTTTTCTTTATATCACAAAAAGAATAGTTTTCTTAACCTTAAACCCTTATAAAAAAATTAATTAAAACATCTGTAGTACAAACATTGTTTTTCCATTTAAAAGACATTTAAAAGTAACATTTATTTGATTTTCAAAATTTGTATATCAAAACTTAAAATGATATAAAAAAGCAGATTTTTTAAGCAGGAAAAATGTTTTACTGAGAAAAACATTGACCCATATTAGCTAGTCATTTTTAGGTTACTGTTACATGGAAATAATACAAGTTCATATTATAAAATATGTACAAATAGATAAAGTTACTGACAGAATTTATTGGCAGTGTTAAAGTAATAATAATAAATTCTGTTACTAACTTCACACACCTGAGCATGTTGCACATTGTTTGTCATTTGAACTATCCATTTGTTTTACTGTAATAAATTCCTGAAGATAACTCACTATGGGTCAAAAGTGTTTGTCAGTAAAACCAATTTTTCCCACTAAAAAAAAGCTGCTTCTTACATCATTGAATTACTGAGTAGGATCCTCAATGAACAAACTTTTAAACATTATATTAAAGCCAATCAAAGAAGATATACAGAAAAGAAAGGATTTTCAATAGATACTATACCCTTGCAGTTCCAATAGTTGAGGTTTTTTTAGCCAAAGTAGTTATGGCAGTTGAAGAGGTATATATAGTAGAAGAAGTGTGAACTGATACAGGAACTATAGGACCAATACCAGAACTCATAATAACCATACTTTGTGGTAAAGGCACACCCTGGGGATGGTTTGGTGGGTCCTGGGAGCAAGCTCCATACTGAATAAACTAGAAAATACAACCATTAACTGTGGTATTCTAATTAGGTTCAACTTGCATATGCAACTGCAATGAACAGAGATGTAATACTGATGAAGACAGAAAAAAATAATAATAAAATTTGGAAAACAATTAAAAACATTTTTTTAACAACTTAATGAACACAAGTAACAATGGTATAATGAAGTAACATTTTTCTCTATTTCCACACAACTATTAAACTAATAAAACTTATTGAATTTCCTCTTACAAACTAGGCATTACTGAAAAAGTATATTTTTTCAAGTTTTCTGACTTTGTTAGCTAAACTCACCTTTTTTTTTGATTCCATGTTTATAGTGTACTATTAAGACATCATAGAAAGTAACTTAAACTTTCAAATTTAATCTGTTTTATGCCACAGTTTAACATATATCCAGCCTTGGAGTTTGATTTTGTAAATGTTGAGTCATAACTTCAAGAAAATATAGAAATATTTCCATAATTAATAAACATATTTATTACTTATGCATGTATTTAGGACTGAGCAAGTACTTGTCAGTTTAGCTAAATTGCAAAATTCCAAAACTTTTCTTAGAAATTCCAAAACTGTCAGTTTATAAATACATGGGAACAAATATATTTATGTTGGTTTTAAAAGGTGCTGCTGAATATCATTGTATATATTTTTTGGCTTTGTATTTTTAATATATTTATGAAAATTGCTTAGAAAGATAACTGCATAATAGAATACAGTTGATATATTAAAAAAAAAGCAAAGCCATAGAAATCAGAAATTTCATTTATGAAACAGCACCTTACAACTAGGGAATAATGCCAGATCACATTTATAACTAAAATCTGAATTTCTATACACAAAGATGCCAAACAGACAGTAGGTACTCTGACAACTTAATTTAGTCCTTTGTTAACAGAAATTCCAAATTTAGCTATAATGACCCATTTAACATTTAGAAACACTATTAGACTTTACATTTATATCTAACATTCAAACTAAAAGATTTTCACTAACAAAAATGTTGAGAAACCACATTTATATCTTTGAATTACTTGCTATAGTAGCTACTATAATTACAGATAGAGCCAAACTATCAATGTTCAGGAGACCTGAATATTAAACTTATATTTTATTTTTAAAAAGTAATATTCAGGCATATAATTAAATGATTTTAGAAAACTTCACATACAACTTACAACATGCTAGTTAATTTCAATATGGTTAAATGTTCACAAAAAAGCTTTCTTTATACATTTCACAACAGACCACACAGTTGTCAAAATTTTATATTTTTCATTCCTCACTTTCGCAATACCTCAATCAAATGAGCAGGAAAATCTAGAAAGTGACTGATAGATGAAAGATGGCAACAGTATTGGGGGAATTCTTTTAATCTGGAAAAAAAAGGGAAAATTAAATTAATATACATAGTAGGAAACAACATATATTAATATATAATCACCCCCCTAGGAATTTCAAAGTCTCAGCATTTTCTAAATTGAAAAGTTCATCTAATAATTGCAATATTCTCTTGTCAAAATGTTTGTCACCTGGTGGGCTAGTGGTAAGTTTACACTTACAATGCTAAAAACAAAGTTTAATTCTCCTCAGTGGATAGAGTGCAGATAGCCCATTGTGTAGTTTTGAAAGATGAAAATAATAATATTTTAAGCTGTTTTAACCAATTTGACCAGGAATATAACAGTCAAAATCCTACCAATATTTACAGCCTAAAATTGTATTCATTTTAAACGACTGAGTTTGAGTAATAAATGCACTTGCAGCTTTCACAAAATGTTGGATAATGTTTCAAACATGAAAAAAATATTTTTTGTTAATCTACAAAATTGATACTTAAAAGTTCTAATGGAAAAACAAAGGGAAAATCTGTTTATTAAAAGTGACAGGTTTAGTGTGATGTTAAAGTATTCAAAACTTTATTTCCCATATAACAAATAAGAGGATATAAAATTAGTTCATTTTAAAACAAAGACACTACCAGAGATATATAATGAAAACCAGTACCTCAAAAAGATACTACCATAGAAAAATGGAAGAACAAAAATATACCCATTTCCTTCAACAATTGTTAAATTTTCATTAAAACACTCAATTATTTCCCCCGAGTTATTGTTTTGAAGGTACAAGCATATTTCAGTATAAACTGTACTTATTGTTCATTATCAACAGATTTAAGTCAGAGAAGTGAATTTTGCATGGCGATAAGGGCAGTTATAAACTAATCTGTTAAACATTTTATTAATGTTCATTTGTAAACTTAAAGAAAAATACCAATCTATTAAGTTTTTCTACAATCTTAATTTTGAAAATATAGGCAATGTAAAAGATTTCTGTTGAAAATATTTTATTTTTACACCAAATATGACCAGGACCATAATTATCACAATGGAAAATGAAAGAACTCTTAGCCATCAATGATCTGAAATGCTAGTAGTGCTAAAATAGAATTAGGCTTATACTTCAATATTAGTCTTTCATTGGTACAAAATACCAAAATGTTTACCAAGAAATACAAAATGATATGCAATGTTGAAATTTTATTTAAAAGTCACTATTATTAACACTAGATCTACATGTTATTGGGGTTTAAACTATCAGTGAATGTAACAGCCTATTAATATTTATTCTATTTTAGAAAATAATGCGCACATTCTTAAAACCCCACATTTTCAGAATTCTTTATAGTTGCATAACAAATTGCTACTACTTCAATAATAAGTAAAGAACTGGGTTTTGAAATGCTTTCCAAGGAACTCAGACAAGTTTAATACGGACTAATTACCTTGAAAAATACAAATGTTCTTTTTTTTTTTTATGCTGAAATCTCCTAGTGGTGAAAACTAATCCGAATTGTAATACTAGAATTTTAAACATTAGCTGTAAGATTTTGCTTGATTTCAAAATAATTCATAAATGCCGGAATGCAAGTAAAAATTTAATTATTATAAAGGTATTCTTTAATATCACACATTAGAAACAAAGCTAGAACCCTAAATAAATACAAACCTTCTTTTACACCTGTCAAGAGCTATTATTCCAAAGTAATACATCTTGTTTCCATAAGGATTTTTGAGTGCATCAAATATGCAGCGTAATATCAAGCCCAAGAACACGTAACTTGAAAAAAAGAAAAAAAGGAAATACTATAACATTTAAAACTAAACTGAAGAAATTACAAAACAACTTTAGTTTTTCACAATTAATGTTAAGAATGTATCTGGTGTACATTTTTACCAAGCTGGGCTAATGCAAGCTAGTGTTTAATTTATATCTTATATAATTTGATATCCAGTATAAACAAATATCTTTCATGTTACAATACAGCCACCACCATGTAAGACATGTGCCAGGATACACAGAATACTCTGCAAAGTACCAAGTCACCAAGTATAAATACAGTCACATACCATGGTGGCAGATTAGTGTCAAAGTGTTTGTAAAATGTTAGTATATCATTACTTTAATTTGTTAATTTGTAGAATAAAATATTATAAACTACTTGAAGTGTGGAGGACCAATACTTGAATGAATTTATTTTAGAATTACAATAGAAATTCACTTATAAATCTGGTGTGTACGAGATCACTCAACACATCGGAAACTAAACACTAACATAAAATAATTCAAATAATCTAGTGTAAAGGTGTCAAAACTTCCCTTGTTAGGATTGTGAAAAAGTACCAAGCATTATGTTTTGCAATAAATTCTCCAGTTTAAATTCATCCTGTGCAGACAGAAACAATTATCAAAACCATTTCTTTGGCTATAAAGTGCTCTTCAAGAAAATGCTAACACTAAGCCTTACATCATGAAGTCCAAAGCTTGACACTTTATTTGTTTAAAGTACACAAGTAAGGGAATTCTTGTTTTTTAATTTATTCAAGAAATTTTGAAGTGATGGAAGATGCTGCACTTACTTTTTAATAAGTCTACAGAAGCTTAATTAATTCCTAACTGTTATAGAAGTGTTGACTTTAATCTGAACTTTAAGTATGAGATCTACATGAATGTGTGAAGTTTCTGCATATCTATAAAAGTTCTTAAACATATCAAAATATCTAAAATAAATGTAAGGATTATGGAAGCAACATATTAATCTGCAAGCCAATGTGCCACTTCTAATAGGATTAGTGATCCCTGCTTTGAAGTTGATATATTCATGTCTGATGAAGTATCAATATTGTTTTGGTTGTTCTGCCCACAACCCAAATTTTAACCTAACATCTTTTGGATTGGAAGGTGATTTTATAGGATACAACAAGCTTCCAAAGGAAAAATAAACTAATTCAGGGAGTCAAGTGACTTTTGTTGATGAAAATTTAGGAAATAATAATAATAAAAAATAGGAATTCAAAGTCAGAAATATAGGGAAATAGAGAAGGTACATTTACAAGTTTTAAACAAGATTATGAATAAAAAAAATGTTTGCATCCTCCTCCACTCACCATCAACTTATAATTAATAATTATCTTTACCATCTCAAACAATTACTAGATGTATTTATGACAACAAAAATTTAACAATGGAAATACAATGAATGTAGTATTGAAAAATAAGCCCCTTTTTTTAGACTTTATATATTAAACTTAAATAATGGATAGTTATATCATAATCATCTTAAACAATGATTGAATGTGATAAAGCCTTCAAGAGAAGTAAAGTGAATGTTTCATTTAAAAATGATACACAACACTATTTACACCATCTTGAACAATGCTTAGATGTGGAAGACTGTTTCAATAGATTCAAATGTAACAATAGAAATAAAATTTAGTGGCACTGAAAGAGTTCTTTTGGGGACTTGATATGCTAAACTTACATAATGGGTAGTGATAATGTAATAATATCAAATAATGACAAAGGAATAAAAATTGTCTACAACAGTCACAAGCAAATCAATGACTGTTACATTAATGAATAAATATTTCTGGGACTGGAACAAAGATACATAGTCTGATTTTACTTTCTTGGGATTGGATGATTGATTGTATAACAGTCTCCTTTTAGAAGATGAACTAGACTCTGCATTTCTTCCATCCTATGCTGATGAAGAACTAAATATATATTTTCTTTTGTTTCCTTCATATAGATATCAATTTATTACCATTGGTTGTTTTGCACAGCTTCTCCAGTAGCTGTCCCTGTTGTTGTTCAACACTCCTTTGACTTTCACATATTTCGTTCATTTCTTTTCATAAGCTTTCTTTTTTTGCTGTGGCTACCACACCCACTCCCTTCATATCATTGTTTGCTACTGCTTCTTTCAGCTTGCTGTCTCCGTCTTTAAATGAATTTCATTTACTTCCTCAACCACTCTCTCAAGAAGGGAATAGAGTTTGTTCTTAATTTCATTCTCAATTTCTAACCTCTTGGTTTCAAGCTGTCATTTTTCTCTCTCTCTCTCTCTCTTTCCTCCCTTTTTTAGGATTTCCTTCCTCCAGTCTTTTTTTTATAGTTGCTATAAGCCATTATAATCCATCTTAACATTTCCCCATCAAGTGAAATTTTATGTCCTTGACGGTTCTTACAGCATTCACAATTTTCTCCTCAATGGCAATTCTGTCTTTGATGACAACATTTATATTAAAAACTTTTCTACATCTGCATTTCCCTGTGGTAATATTGATACTTTCTTGTTAAGGAGAGGAAGAAATCCACATTTTAAATTTCCATTGTCAAGATTTTTCAAAAAGTCTTGCCCGCAAGAAATGATCCACCCTTTCCCTAATTCTAAATCATCTTCTGTTTGTTAAACTTTCCACTCATCTGTAATGTTAATTATAATACACTCTTCAAGCATCACTTGTCTAGATAAACCCTCCATATCTATGACAGAACCTTGAACAAATCTTTTCACTGTTGACAAACTATTTAGTGCTTTGATTATCTTGTTTTCAGAAGGAAGCATAGTGATCAGGTACTTTGATACCATAGTGTAGAATGACTGTATTTCTTTGTGCTGGGTCTCTATCTTAGAAAGCTTCTGTGTTGCTTTCCCACAGACAATGTCTTCATCATCTAGCTGGTTTTTAATGCCAATATCTAGATTGTTAAGGTCTTCTAGTGCTATGCCATTAACAATACTTGCTTTGACAAACTGTCTCAGAATGGTGCAAACCAACATTGTTATTCGACTTTATAGCAGGTGAATCATAGGTTTATCAATTTGGAACACTTTGACAAAATCTTCGAACAGAGGGATAACTGACAACATAAAGAACAATTTGATTTTCATGTCTGGTCACCTTATTGCTTCCCTTATCCCTTTGAAGTTGATACTCTTTGGCATTGTCTTTGGGTCCCTTATGGCTAGTCCAATGCTCAGCCAATGAACCTACGTGTGCTTTAAAAAACTTCTTCTGGAAAGTCAAGATGTCTTTGTAATCCTACCTTTTACTAGATGAGATCACGAATAGTTGAAATAAATCTATCAAGTGTTCTGTTTCCCAACCATGTTCTTTTATGCCCTTGCTAAAGACACTGTATGAAGATTACATTTATCTACATTAACAAGGCCATTCCATTCTGAATCAGCAGCTTTGACTAGCTTGGAAACTTCTCTAAAGATTGTCTTGTTAACATGTGGTACATTGCTAGCCAATGCAACTAGGGATTCCAATGGCGGCATGCAATCATCCTGTAATGTTTTCATCTTATGCTTGGCAACAGATTTTCCAACTGCATGAGGGAAGAACAATTACTTTCAATATATGCAGACTTCATCATGGGTTGGGGGACCAGTTCCTTACAAAGAGATTCATTTGTTTCGTTACTTATGGCAGAGTTGTTTCATCACACTGAAAGGGGGGGGGGATTTGAATTTCAAACTTCATATATCAAAACAGAAGTGAAAGCTGGATCCAAACCATCTGATAATAGGTAAGATAGCTTTGGTCTGCTCATACTGAAATTGTCTGCTATTGAACACTTGAATATTGCTCTGAAAGCTTCAGCAATACCATCACTAGCTCTAAAATTTATGTTAGACAATGCACATTTTGCTTTCTGACCTGCAAAACTGCGTATTTGCACTTTCCTTTGAAGTACCAGTGGTTAGTTGACTTGAATGAGAGGTTTGTTTGAATTGGTGAAGGAAGGGATTTGTTGTTTTTTTTTAATGATGGGATCCTAATGTATGTTGAAGAATTTGTTTTAAGTCCATTATTGTCACAAATAAGATACAAGATACTTCCTTTGACACACCACGACTTTAATTCATGTCCATTTCCACCCACCTCAGACAATCACCTCTCGTTAAACTTAGTTTTGTCTCCTGGCATAATTAACAATTAGCAAACTCTTACCTAAAATAAATATTGAAATGTTTGATTACCATGAAAATTTTCTAAAACACCTCAGCTGTTGGATATTTTAACATATTTTCAACATTTCTTTGAAAAACATTTAAATTGGGGTGCTCTAGTTAACATTTACCCAACAAATATTCTGAATGTTCCTTCCTTAAAAACTACAAGTTTTGTTATTACCAGAATAGTATTTAATACTGAATTTCCCCATGCTGATGAATTTATCAGAATCATGTTTAGTTTTTCTACCAAAAAAAGACAAAAAAAAACAGTCCATCAAGAAGCAATAACAATTGTTTTTTTTTTTTATCTGAATGGATCCAGGTAGTATATCCAACAACTGCTGTTGTTAGTGGCTGAGCAGGGGTACCATACCAGAAAATAAATACAAATATATTAAGGAAAAGTGCAAAAATAATCTTAAAATACAATTTTATAATATTTTTTTTTGCAAAATGTTTATATTAAGTTTGTCACTTTTCTTTCAATATTTGTATTTATTGCTTATCCAATTTCTGAAACTTAGGAATAAATAGGGAAATATAGGAGTACTTGATGCTCTAGAAAGTGCAACAACAACCTGTCTTAAACTGAGAACAAGCCTTGTAGAAGTAAAAGTTAACACTACAAGTATTGTACTTCTAAATATATTTGGGCACTGAATTTACCGAACTGTAGTGACGAATATATCTTTTAGCATATCATTTTAGAATGGAAATTAAATTTCCATTTACTTCTAAATGTTTGGATATATCTAGAAAAACAATATTAATATATTGGTTGAATAAACTACAAACATGTTTTTAAACAGATTACATCAAAAGGAAAGACAGGGTGAATTCTAAACTGCTTATCCAAACATTAGATGAAATATAATTAGTTTTAATTTTAGAGAGAAGGAAAAAAATACAAGTAAATAGATGAAAAGAATATAATAAAATAAAAAACAGTCACAAAACAAATATCTAACACTAAGGTACAAATCATATGGGGGGGGGGGTCATTATGTAATGTGCTTTGTGAATTTTGGAGGTGCCAGCAGAAGTAAGACCCAAACTGCATTGAGGGTACACCATTTTCTAAACTTAACCTCAATTTCATGAGCCTCATGCTAAAAAAGGAGCATAGGTGAGTGCTAAAGCCTACAACATCCCACATCTCTACCACCTTTTGCTATCTGTAACCAGAAGTGGGATGGTGGTTGCTCACAGAAAAGAAACTAAGTGAGAAAAAGAGTACTATACATCAACAGGAGAGGCAGAAAAACTGTCACTGAAGTTAGCATCCAGCCCCCAATACGATATTCGAAAATAAATACCAACACGTTAAAGTACTATCATACTAAGCCCAGCTCTTTGCTATTAAATATAGCTCCCATTCTCCACCCATCCATGCTAATATCTGGAACTTCCCCAGTAATGCCTCTTCAATAGTCCTAAAGAGATCTACATAGTAGCAAGTCTTACATAGGAAAGATGATACAACTATGTTTATTACCTCATAATTACTATCATCCAAAAATGCTTTTTACAAATATAAATGATTTTCTATTAAAGAAAATAAACAAACAATTTGAATAAACACTTGTTTTAAAACTAATTTATTCCAAGTTATGACAAGTATTTTTCAACAATTTGTCATATTTGAAATATTTTCATATTATTTCACTTTTGTAATTCCTAGTGACCTGAAGAGAATAGATGAAAAATACAGAAACAAAATGCACAGATTTTCAATACATGCATAAATTTGTGTGTCGAAAAACTATAGACATCGAGTCACACCTGAATTAAGAACTCATCCAAACAAAACCATTTACCTTCAGAATGGATGTTTTACACATTCTTAATAAAAACTAGATTTTAGAAAGTACTCTGACCTTTTATGCCTATTTTAGTTCATCTACAATTCAGATTTGAGTAGTCGTGTCCAAATGAAAAGTTCAAGCAATAACACGAGATATATATACTATCTAAAAATAAGCAGTTGACTACAAACAGATTAGAAACATCCAAAAGTACCAAAATATTACATTTCTCATGTCGTTTGTTAAAAGCAGAGCTTTAGCTGGTACTTCAAAGGTTAGAAATAATGTTGGGTAGAAACAGAGCTATATAATATGAAATAAGTAAGCTAACTGAATTAATTTTATTGTTAAGATAATAAATAAAAGTAATCTTCATCACTACAGATCTCCAAGTCCAATGATGAAAAGTCTGTTTATAAATACATTTTGCCAGTTGTCTAAACACTGAATGACTAACATGATAATATGGTTTTAGGTCATTCTAAAATTAAGAGAAATTTAACGCTGTTTGGTTCAAAGAGCTTACGTTACAAGGCCTTGTTCAACAATGCCTCCAAAGATTTCTGCAGTTATCAAAAGTTCTTGGTCAGAGTGTTGATGTAAAAAGTGGTACACCTCAAACAACTTTCGTAGCATACAGTTGAACATGTCCTGTAATTTTGATAAAGATTTATTTATTTATTCATTTATTTTATCATCAATATACATTTTAGAAGTAGAAAAAAAAGCAAGTAATTATGCTTCTAATGCACAATAAAAAAAAAAAAAAATACACGAATCTTCTAGCAAAAAATATATTTGTGTAAAATGAACAAAACCATCCAAGAGTAAATTTATTTCATAGTAAATAGCAATAGCCTCTGATTCTTAAGATCCTTCTTATTAAGGAGGAGGACAGAGGAAAGCATCCATCAACAAACTAGACAGAAAATTAGGACTACTGCAATAAAAGCTTGCGCATTGTTAAAATTATCTTAAGTATCACCAAAAATTAATATAGCTTAAGTGAACCAGTAGTACTGAAAAAAAAAAAGTGTGTGTGTGTGTGTGTGTGTGTGTGTGTGTGTGTGTGTGTGTGTGTGTGTGTGTGTGTGTGTGTGTGTGTGTGTGTGTGTGTAGTGGAATGTCTCTTATACAACAATTGTTTATTTTGATTTCATATCAGAATTAGTAAATATGTATATGTTTGACAAATGTTTCAAAGGCTTTTTCTTGACTTTACTTGTAGATCCATTTTAAAAATTAGCTTCTTTCAAATTTATAGGTAGTGATATTAATTAAATTTTTCTCTATTAAAATCATTATTCACACACAAACTTTGTAGAAGTTTTGTAAAAAACTTTCTCCTTTAAGATCATCATTGTTTATTTTAAATACTACAGTAACTATACTTTATTGAATGAGAGTTCTTTAAAAGCAATCTGAATCTACCAAGTCATTAATAAATATGACCTTGATCGTAATGCCTTTAAAAACACTAATTACTTTACTTGTTAACCAGCAAGCATTGTATTACATATTTAGGAATGAATGCAATAACAATTCCATATGAAGACTACTGAAGTTTTCTTTAATTTTCAAACACTTTTTGATAGGAATTTTTTTTAAATTAAAAAGCTAAACAGAGGACAAATACTCAATGTACTTGTTTTTCCTCTTTAGAATAATTATAGTTAAGAAAAGGAAAAACAAAATTGCATACTTTATTGTTAACCATTTAATTCTCTTTCAAATAACACTGAATACCTGCAATCTTAGTTAAAGTATGTAACTATTCTAAAGGTGGAAAATTAAACACAGCTTTTATGCTTTATGTTGGAGAAAAACAAAACAGAGCACCATAATACAGTATTGTAAGCACTGAAATACTATCACATTTCCCAGTCTTTTACAAGACTTTCCATAACTGCTTTATTTTATTGGTAATAAAAAGAATTGAATGTTCACAATGAATTTGCAATAAACAGTTGATTTAAGTGCTTCTTGATACCATTATTGAAGACAATTTATTCTGGTTACATATCATAGTTATAAAATAATGGCTACCGCTATAATCTGTTTTATATCCCCCCCTCTAAAAAATTATCTGATGTGCACCATTTTATAATTTCTTATTTATACTTTCTTACCCTTTCCCTTTTAATAGGAGACTCTTGGAACTTCCTCAACATCTGCAAAACTTCATCAATCAATATAGGTGGGTGAGAAGAATGCCTATATATTCTTTTAAAGTAGCCATTAGCTTCATCTTCTACTTCTTTGGACATATGCATGTTCACCTCTGATAATATAGTTGATATATCATCTAAACACAAATCACATTCAAAAATCAGTGTCATCCAACTGTAAACATTACACCAAACACTTTCCAATAACACACAGTTTGGACAGGAACAGTGGCTACCTCTGACCTATACCAAAGTGTCAAATGTCTTTACAGATATTTCAAAGTTAACATTTTCTTGCAATGAAAATTTATTTTCTGATAAGTACTTACCTCCTAACACACAAACCTATCTCCATCTCCCATCTGCCCCCTAAGCATTGCTAGAAAGTTTTAATGCTCAGTGCACTAGTCTATACACCACACAAATTTTGTGTCACTCTTGAAAATGTATATAGCATGTTACCACACTCCACCAATAGTATTGCACCACCTATGTTGGTGCAACTAGTTCCATTTGATTTTACTGCTCAATCTTCACTTCGAGAACTGGCAAGATCTACAATGAATAACACCAGCAGTGAAGAGGAAGGGTAGGAGTGTGTGAGAGGAGGTAAGTACCTTTCAGAAATATAGGCTTAATACCTCCTCTCACAAAATGCTAGAATCCCATATTAAAAAGGTGGAGGGGCTGGTGTAGACACCCAAGACTGAAACCAAGTGGAAAGCAACTGCCTAGAAATAACTGGTGTGCTCAGAAATGAAACCAGATCACACATGCAAGGCACTGCACTACTCCTGGAGCAGATATGGTCTTCTCCATGTAAGAAGGAAATGCACTTCACACAGATGAAAAAAAGGTTGTGCACAAGTTTGATTTGTTCCGAGAGGTGCAATACATAGTAAGTTTGAAAAGTTCCCAATTGCACCAACTAGATAGAAAAACAGCTACCCCTCGTAGGTGAAGAGCCACTCTATGAAACAAAAACTCTAAGCAAACTCGATACTCACATGAGGAGAAATGGCAAGTCAAGGAACAGTTTGCTAAAAGGTAATGATAGAGAAAAACATCTAGCCATGGCCAGATAGCTACCAAACCTCAACTGAACAGACGAGGTTCCACAACCCATTCTCAACGCCAACCTCAACCGTCAGTAAAGAGAGTGACATATGTCAAACAATTGGAAAAAGGAAGTTAGCATTCGATCAAAATCAAACTCCTAATACCACCATAAGAGCAAGAAGTACAACAAACAGAACCCAGCATTACGGGGTCATGTCATTGCCTCAACTCAACCATAAGTACAGGCAATGCCTGTAACTAGAATTAAGAGCAGAAATTATAACTCACCCAACAATAAATGCAGAGAAGATGCATCCTGCACCCAGAATTACAAGAATGGTGTGGAACATTTGCTGAACTCTAGAAACAGTATGTACGTCTTGTTGGTGGTATTACGAGGCAAATTTCCCCAAACTCCACCATAGGAGCAGGAAAGGAAACCTCCTGAAACTGGAATTAACAAAAAGGGGGCCTCTACTGCCTTCAACCATGGGAGCACAGTAGTGTCATCCTGAGCCAAGTATTACAAGGAGGATTCCACATAGGCTAGTCCTGCTCCAAACAACATTCTGTGCACCTGGGAATAAGTATCGGTGGGAAAGGGAAGGAGGAACCCAGCTTTGCCCTCTTCTCACTGAGTGGATAAATGAGTGGTTGTTTTGTAAGGTAAATTTCTACTTTACATTCAGGAGGAAGCCTCCTTGGTCCACTACCCTAATGACTGGGAACTGGTAAGGACTCTCATGCTCCACTTTGGGGAGGGGGGGGGGCAAATGCAATTGGACATACAGAGGAACATCACACTGGAGAAAGTGCAACGGGTTTCCATTATTCCCTATTTTGAGAAGCAGACTGTTGACAATTTATGCAATCAAAGGGTGGCAGGGATGGGAAGAAATCCCATTTTGCTTCACTCATGATAGTACACGAGTGATGGTCTACCACAGAGTTAAACTTGAAGATACCTAGAGACATAATTATATACCACTAGGCATGCTACTAGTGGTCTTGTGGAATACCCAATCTCTATGATGAGCATTATAGCACTAGTAGTTTATAGAGGGAGTGTGAGTGAAAGCACACCTGATTCAGCAACACTCGCCACAGAATGGGATCCTATGACTAGCGGTAAAAGACGATCCCTGTAAAGAAAACATGAAATGTTATGAAAAGACATACAAGTCAAAGGTGAAAGGAGGGGTTTAGAATCACCACAGGAGGGAGACAATATCCACCTTAAAAAGATACATCCAGATAGTGCAGATAATGAGACACAAGGGAATTGTGACTAGTCTACATTCTAGCCTGAATGATTTCTTCTAATGGATAGCAATAATGAGCAGTCAAATACATGGTGATATGACAACTTTGATATGGTGAAAGGTTGAGGAGATGACAACTTTCCATGGATAAGTCTGAATAGGCCAGCCTGAGAAGTTAATGAACCCAACCATTTAGTGTGACAGAGGATAGATCATGGCAAACAGAAGGGTTTCAGGGAATAAAAGGTCAAGAACATGAAACTAAAGGAGGCAGTAAATGCCACACAACACCTTAAGAAGCAAACTTAACAAAGAAGCTGATCAGGTTCAGAATGAGAGTACAGATAGGAGATGGAAGGTAAAGAAATGGGTGTGAAAACCAAATGGCTTTCCCAGGCAACAGAAGTCTTAGGGAGGAAGGACCAATATGTATATAGGATGACATAAGAGGAACCTTAAAGGATTCTGGTAACATTAATAGCATAAATATGCAATTGATGCTATCTGCGAGATAAGAGGAAAAGAAACATGTAATATACCACATACCTGATTAACCAGCTGTTAAAAATATATTAAACAATTGAGTGCAAACATATTAAAAAAAAAGGTGTTTGAAATGTTACCAAAGTACAATCTTAAACACCAAACAATGCTATGCCAATTGAGAAAGTGAGGATTTCATGGGAAGATCAGAGGGAGCTAGCTGTGCAAATATAGGTATTGGTGGAGTGTGGTCACATGCTATATACATGTTCAAAGTGGTGCAAAATTTGTGGGGTGTATAGACTAGTGTACTGAGCATTAAAACATGCTTAGGGGGAGATAGAGATAGGTTCAAGTAAGTGAGAAGAGGTAAGATTGTATCAGAATGTTCATTACATCTATTTTAACCTATTAGCACTAGCTACATTTTAAGCTAATCTGTAAATCAGCATAAATGATTCAATCAAATATTCTATGTAATTCAGCAGTATTCTGTCAATCAAAATGTTAGAGATATGTATAGATTCTTAGTTTTCACATTTTTTTTTTTTTTTTTTTTTTTATGTACAATGCACGAGTGAAAATATTTTAACTGTCTTGAAACTTGCATCCTAAAGGCACTAAGACTTAACTTGTGAACAAAGTGCAAGTTTAACTGGAAACACATTTCACATAATACATGCAAGTTCATAAAGACTACAAACGTTTTTCATTTTATCAAATGTCTAAAAGATATACAATTCTGAGTATATAATTTTTCTCTAGTTTTATTTTGAAACAAGTTTTTTCATATCTCGTGAAAAGCGGTTTTGTAGCATTAATTATATTGAAATAATTTCTAAGCTGTAGAAATCCCAATGGAATTTAAATCAAACTTCATTTTTTTTAACACTTAAACAACTAAAAAACAAATTTGTGGTGAACAACAGGAAACTTATTTTAATGAAGTAACAGAAAGTAGGCACTATTTTATATTTAAGATAGAGAATAATTCAGTTCATTTAATAGGTAATGTTAATGCATCAAAATAATGGTATCAAAATGGGAACACACTAACTGTTGAATACCTGCATTACACATTTGCAGCTTAAGCAAGTTTTTGTGCATTCAAACTGGAGAAATGTTTAGCCAAATTGACTGCAAGTTATTGAAACATTTGGTACCTCAATTACTTACAAACTTGAGTATAGTCTTGTATATATTAATATTAGTACAAGAAGAAGAGTGACAAGTCCCTGATATCTATTCGTTCATCTATATCAAAAGAGTGTACATACGAAATTCTTATTAGCAAGTCTTTATGTATACTTACCTTGTCTCAAATGATCAACAGTAGGTGGAACATATCCAGTCACTGGTGGGGCCAAACTAATAGCAGGCGATATAACCATACCTATATGGTTGTTAAGGCTTTGGTTAGATTCAATAAAGTTTTCAATGATAGAAATAATATTCTGATACATACAAAATTGTTTTAAGTTAATGCTTAAGTCTAACATGAGTAATTTCCTAAAAGGTTTTAGTTATCTTTAAAAAATCTGAAATATTGATGAAATATTTAAATATAACAGAAAAACAAGAAATAACTGAATAATAAACTACCTTTTTCTTCATTTCAGCTGTTATTCAATAAACTATAACACAACTTACAATTTAAAAAGCTTGAATATTGCCACAGTCAACGACCACTTTTGAGCTTTCTTCATACTATAAAGTTACCAGGGTAATGATTATACTTGTTTTAATACTCAAGTAACAATCAATATTTGATATAGATTCAAAATCTTGGAATTCCAATGCTACGTTCTGCAAGTTTAATTAGCTTAAGTCTACTTCCAAAAGTAACAACAAAATTTACAAAGAATGAGACATTATTGGTGCGACTATAATAATAACAATAATTATAAAAAGATATAAAACAATTGCCCCTTATTTGATGAATAAGAAATTAATTTCAAGTTTCATCCCATCCCATGTTGAAAAAAAAATCAGGGTTTTATATCAAATGCAATAATTATTACTTACTATTAACAAGGTTCGTACACTTTCCATTACATCAAATTCCATGACTTTTCCAGGACTTTAGTAAAAGTTGAGGAACAGACAATTGAGACTTACAAAGGCAGCATAGGGCAAATAAATACAAAAACGTTAAGAGGCTGGACATTAAACAAAAACTAAATTTTGTCTCCTTTTTCAATTTTCTTGTTTTAAGTTAGATTAACAGCATTCTATAAATATCTGAAACATGTGATCATGATATGTTACAATCACAGAGTAGTGGACATTTCACCATTTAGTTTCCATGGCAATGACCTTATATAATGATGTCTGTCATGGAAATTGGCCATTAAACCTCTAATGATCACAGGAATAACACTTAGTTGAAAATCCAGCTAATTATGCCAAAAACTGCTTAGCATTAGGTATTGCATTTTTCAAGCATTGTATCTCATGAAAACAAGATAGACCTGTATTCACATTAGTTTTGAAGCAAACACAGCCTCTTCAATTTCCCATTTATTCAAAGTTAAGTTTCTTTCTGATTTTGTTATGACAAACCCAGAGCATTTTTAATGCTAACACTTATTCTCTAATTTTAATATCTCATGCTGGGGAAAGTTTCAGTTAATATGTTCTTTCATATTGCTAATCCAGTGGAAAACACTTGTGCTGGATCTTTGTTTGGGTCTATTACTACAAACTCTGGTTACTGTGTTCATTTCAATCTGTTTAACATGTCAAATCTAAATTATAAGATGAAATAAAAATATACAGTAATTAAACTACAGTCATTGTTACACTAAACTGTCTTGTATCTCATTTTGTTTCTAATTGACTTCAAATATGCAACCTACTGATATTTTGAGTAGAGATTAAATATGATGTTTTCTGCAGAATTTTTAACAACCAACCATTTTTATCTAGTTATCTAATTAAAATGAACGAAATACATTAATAATATAATATACTTCATGTAATATGTCAGTGTGAGTGGGGTTAAAATTATATCCAATGACTTTTCCAAAACCAAGGAATATAAATTACACATTTCTCAGGATTTTGAATATTTCATTTTCAATGACATTTGAGGTTTATAAGTAGTTGTGAAAATTCTATATTAAAATACTTATGATGTGTATAATCTATGGAAAAGTTTGCATTATATCAAATACACAAACAAAGACATACTTCTTGAAGATGTGAAATTATGTTGCAAAGTATGGAGTACACACACTTATTCATCTAGTTTCATTTTTAGTTTGGATAATGGAATTTACTTACCAATACTTGAACCAAATTGTCCAGGCAGTCCAGGTAATTGTCCAGGCAGACCAGGTAATTGAGACTGAAAGGATGGTATGATGCTAGAAAAAGGATTCTGACTTAGAGATGGTCCAGTTTGAACAACTGGATTTGCAACTTGGAGAAGCTTTACAGGAGAACCTGGAGTTGGTTGTGGAAACGAACTTAAGCCAGCACTGAAGGGATAATCTGGAGCACTACTGCTGGCAAAATTGGTGACATCTCCCACATACAGATTACCCATTGATGTATTAAGACCACCTAAGCTATCAAACTGTATCAAAAAGTAGAAAAGTTAATTACTTAATACAGAAAAATCTTGGAATATTTCTAGAATATTCAGATTTTTAATTCATTCAAATTCATTTATAAACTATGCTTTAAAAAATTGCAACTCTGTACAGAATAAGTAAAAAACATGTTCTTCCCTAGCATCACATTATAAAATCAGTGTTTGTTTTTTGGCTCCATGTTTTAAACCTTAAATTAAGAAAATATACTCAGCTACTTACCGATATTAAAGTTAATACCTGATAACATCCAGTAACAAAACAAAGTTGCATAGTATTAAATATCAAAGTATGAAAAAGACAGAATTTAGCTTTTTTTTTAATCTCTTTTTTTATTAAACAAATATTGATTTAAGGAAATGGGTATTATAATATTTTCACTACATATTATAGTAATTATAAAAAATAATTTAGTTTTCCTCACACAAATGTACTAGCAAAAGAGCAGCTTACAGGATTAGCTGATTCTCCCATAGTTGCAGCCAAGAAAACTGGTTGTGGGTCATGAGGGGTATTTAGTACACCAGTAGGAGGATGACTAAGTTTGCTCAATAATGCATAGTACTTCTTCGTAATTGCTAAGACTGCCTCCATGAGTTCTTTGGAAATGCTAATGAAAATAATCAAGTGATCATAAATATATAAAAAAAAAACAAAAAAAAACTCACTTTGAGAGTCAAGTACATAATTCAATACATGAATAATAACTAAAGGATAATAGTAGTTTTAATGTTTATTATTCCAAAGCTTCTATTGCTGGTGACAATGTGAGTATGGCCATTAGCAAAACATTTGTGTATGAAGTAATGCTATTAAATTTATCGTAAAGAAAGAAAATTACAACTGGAATTTTCAACCTGAATGGCACTTTCTGTGAACTTCTGTTAAATAACCAACTCAGACTTACAGGGTTCATGTATAGCCAGCCTTAATTTTGAACTACTAACCAGAGGAAAAGGTGCTAGCAAGCAGCAACTGTCATCATAAGAGTTTTGTCCAGCTATCTAAACTGAATAATATGACTGAAAGTGTGGGGTATATTCTACAGAATAATATCTCAAGGCCCAAAACCTACAATCCGATACACTAAACTCTAAATCATGCCTTACTCCAAAATACAGAGATTGTTAATCAAATATGAAATGTGTAAATTATTTATCACGAGTATAAGAAAAAAAAAGTTGCATTGAAACCTTATCATTGTTTGTCAGCTACCAATGGCAGATTTCCAACTAAGGAAACTTTGCACACACTCTATTAAGCTCATTATCTGGGTAAATACTGACAGAAAAAGTGCCAAAATTATGCTATATTTTATTTTACAAACCTTGGCAACATAAGCTTTCTTTATAAATAAAACAGTATTCTTTTGGAAGCCAGTGCATTTAATATTCAAATGTGTCTTTTTGGTTCCTAATTTCTGCTGTTGCATCACTAGCACACCAAGCCAACAAGAAAAATTCCTGTAGACATTCTCTCTTCTTCATTTTATGGTGATTATCTCAACTTATTTAAGCCTAGATTTTCCTATTCCATCTAAAATTTGTTAACATGAGGTTCCATTCCATTTACATTTAGCTAAACCTAAGTTTTACATTTCTATATCCTAGCTACAATCTGTTAACATGAGGTTTCATATTTGCAAAGTAATGTAAAAGTTCGAAGTTTTTATGACTTAAATACTGCTGCAATATTATTAACAGGAGTACCTTATAAACTGATTAAACTCTAGAACTATCAACAGGGTAGTAATTAGTACAAGGTCTTTAATATGAGAGTATATATCAAATTAAATCCCAGAAAGTTTATTTGGTTAATCACTTTCAGAATATACATTTTTGCAATATTATACATTTGAACACTATTCTGAGACAAAGTCACTAAACTTTGATTTTATTATAAATCTTATTAATTCATACTTTTAACTACAAACCTTTCAAAATATAAAACTTATCACAAATATTGCAATAAAAATTACACATCAAAATAGAAAAATAAGTACACAAAGGTTTGGTACCAAAAATATGTTTATGAGAGATAACTGTTTTATACATTTTTGATTTTCAACAACAGCTCTTGCTTTCAATGGGATCAGGACATTTTGTTACTGAACAAATCGTTACAGACACATTACTAGGACAACTTGTAATAGGTGCACTCTTGTTACATCATTTTTGTGACATGGTAGTTTTTGTTATGAATAGTGATTTTTGCAAGAGGTTAATAGATCATAAATTGTACAATTATTTGGGGACCATTCAAAAGTTACATAATGCTATGGGGGTAATATGGTGTCTAAACCTGTATTACGATGTGTTACAGAGGGGGTAATGGGGGTGGTGGTGGTGTCATGAACAGTGTTACATAAAACACGTTATAGTGAACCTGATTTAGGTTTACAAAAATATTTATTGTAATTTAACATACTTTTATTGAAATTTGAAGCACCTTTAATAATTTAAAATTTGCAAACATAATATATGTATCATTTTGCATAATAACTTGAGTCAGATTTTACATGTCTACTAATGTATGTACTTGATCATTATAAAGTAGTATATTAATATCTATTGGAGAGGAAATACTTTACTTCTAAGTAAATCTAGTAACAATTAATCAATCACAAAAAAAACTTGTAACAAACCTATCATAATGACGTGACGGTAAGTTGGATGTCATAATTAAATAGTTTTTTTTATAACTAAAGTCTATGTCACAAGCTGTCCATAACGAAATATCCCAAACTCCTTTCAATTACTTCCATCTGAAGATCAAATCATTTATCCAAAATTAAGGTGGCATACAAAAAAGAAAGTACACAAGATACTATATGCATGGAGATATCTTTAAACAAAAGTAATGAGTTAAAAGAACAAGCTCATATAAGGCTATATTACCCAGGAAAATTTTGCAGGCACGTCAACATCGTAATTATGATTTCTGGTGAAGGATGTGCAAGATTTGAAGTCTTATCTTCTTTCACTAATTCTCCCATCATCTTTGGACAATGTCTCTTTAAGAAACTAACACAAGCTTGAATAAAACGCTCCTGTTGCAGTGAAGGGAAATTGAAGAATTCATTAAATAAATTTTGCAGCTGAATAATATGTTACACACTTCATTTCTAAACAATTTTAACTATAACCACTTAAATACAAGAGATTTATATACAAGATTATTACATAACTCTCTCACTGTTGTATGCAAATATATGTTCCCCTCTCTAGAACACTGCCATGTCTTCAGAATTTTGTGTCAAAATGTAGAAAGGATATTCCTCTTCATACTTCCCAAAGTTGACCAGTTAAGTAATATGATATTAAAACATTTTTTTTTTTTTTTTATATCTAAAACATGCATACCAAGCATTCTTAGGATGAAAAAAGTAACAACTATACTT